GCCCTTCCGCAAGCGCAGCGTGAGCGGACAGAAACCACGAAAGGGCCGTCCAGCTTTACGAAGGGCCTCCCAACTTGTGGTGGCTAGGTGTCGTTTGGCTAACACCCACTCGCCCCCTCTGGTGCCCGACTCGGACTTGACTGAGGCCTCGGCAGGCGTGGCCGCGAGCTGCCACCCGTCCTCGAGGCAGTTGAGCTGGGCCTTCGGCATCTGCGAGGGGCTGACGCGGGTCCCCGCCAGTGCCAACACTTCGAACTGCTGGCCCACCCCTCAGGGGGAAACCTTGGGCTTTGGGCCCCCATTCAGTCGCGTTGCCAAAGAAGATGCGAGCATGGTCAGACTGCCTCTTGACAGGTTCCAAAGGGCACCAGGGCGGAGCTGAAGGTAACCGCGGGGGCTCTTCGGGAGCTGGGAGCGCCGCGGCTCCCGACGATTCGGGACCAGGAGCATCAGCTTGAAGTTGCGCAGCAGCATCGTCGTCCGCGTCTTGGAGCCCCTGGCCCAAGTCGTCGAAAGGGTCGTGGTACACCTCGTCGAACCTCGGCTGGCCGCAAGCTGACGCTGGGACCCGCTCAGACGAGACTTGCGTCCTAACGCCTTGTGGCTCTGCGTCCGTTTCGATCGGTGGCGACTGTGAACCCGACGTCAATGTCGGGATTTGCGCTCTAACGCCTAGACAAAACGGCGACTTCGAGCCCGCGAACGGGACTTGCGATCTAACGCCTGGCTCCTCGGCATCCGTGTCGAAAGACGGCTGCGGCGACTGTGAACACAACGTCAGTGTCGGGATTTGCGCTCTAACGCCTTGGCAAAACTGCGACGTTGAACCCGACTCGAGGAGCATCGGGATTTGCGTTCTAACGCCTGAAGGGCTCGACGTCGGCCCCCCTGGAGTAGAGAAGGAAGACGAAGCCCAGGTCGCAATCGGAGTAGCCGAGGAAGCTGGCGCACACGTGGACATCGTCGACGACGGATCCGCACTGGCACACGCGCCGCGGCTCGCTCCCCTCTCCAAGGGGGGGGGGGGGGCGGCAACGGCCATAGCTGCGCCAGCCGCTGTAGGCGAACACCTGGGCGGCGCCGATGACGAAGGCGATCTGCCCTTACCCTCTTCGATGGCCGTAGCCGAGGGGGGGCCTTCGCGGTCGGCCTGACCACCGTGCCCAGGAAGAAGCTTACTGTTGGCCGACCGCGGAAGGAGAGGCGAAGCCTCAGCAGACACAGCAGCGCCTCGTAAGTAGGGCCTGCCGCAGAAGGGGAGCTCGACAACGAACTCGATGCTGGTGTCTGCCTGCCGCCTGGGTGGCGGTGGGCGCTCGTCGAAGACCTCGATAGCAGTCGCCATGGTCTCCCCGTGGCGTGCAAGCTCGTGTTCCCACGCCTCACGGTCCGCCAGCTCGAGGCGCTGCAGGCAACTGTGGTAGTTCAAGCGGAGGCGCTTCTTCACTCTCCATGCTGCAGCGCAAATGTCCCTGGCGAGATCCATCTGGACGATATCTGCATTGTCATGCCCCGCGATCAGGAGGGCATCGTCGGTGAAATGGCGATATTCAGGGTGAGCCAGCCAATCCGCCACGTACTCAACACCCAGCGCCATGAAGTGCGCCGCATCGCCATCTTCATCCAGAACCTGAGGGTTGCGAAGCCACACCTGGGTGTACGTTCGAAGGCGGCGCTCTAACTCCTGGCGGTGGTATATCGCACGCCACCGCACAGGATCCTTGTCCTTGGACTGCCTCGGCTGAAGCTGCCGAGCGAGGCTAGGAGCCTGCTGCATCGGCCTCTGCCTTGGCCTTGAGCTCGGCTGCTTGGACAGCTTTGGCACGAGCGGCGGAGCGCATTGACTCAGGGCCGCTGGGGTCACGCACTGCCACGCCCACGCCACCAGCAGCAGCGGCAGAAGCGGCAGGAGCGGCAGCAGAGCCGCCCGCCGCGGCCGCGGCACCCCCGGCTGCGGTGGCCTCGCCGTCGGGGCCGCGGCGCCGCTTGGCCTGCATCCTGGCGTGCAGCTGCTTGGCTTCTTCGCGGAGCTTGACAATCTGCTCAGCGGCTGGGCCAAGAGCTTGCTGCACCTTCTCCTGGACGCTGGCCGCGAGCTCTGCCTTGATGCGGTTCCACTCGTCCTTGTCGCCGCTGTCGATCTCGAGCCCCTCCATGTTGAAGAGCGGCCCGTCCACGATCTGCAGCGTGCCCTCGTCAACGAGCGTGGAGAGGTTGATGGCCGAAGCAGCGGGTGCCTGGGCTTTGTCCTCCTCGCCTTCAAGGGGAGGCGACGGCAGCTGTTTCTTGCAAGCCGCCTCCCAGTCAAGCTGGGCCTGATGCGCCGCTGCAACGGCGTCGTCCTCCTCGGCCTTGGCAGCGGCCAGCCACGCCTCCCCCTCGACGACACGGGCGGCGCAGGTCTCCAGCCAAGCCTGCGCACGCCTGCACGCGATGCCTTTGGTGGAAACCTCCTCCTCCAGCAGCGGCGGTCGACGAGGGGCGGGCTCGGGCTGCTGAGTCTTGGCCGCTTCCCTCTTGGCGGCGATAGCCTCCAGCTCGGCGCAGTCCCCCAGGAGGAGGAGGAGGAGGAGGAGGAGGAGGAGGAGGAGCAGGAGGAGGAGCAGGAGGAGGGTGCATCGCAGAATCGTTGACGCATGCTGGGCTCATTGTGGTCCTGCTCCTCCTCCTCCTCCTCCACGCTCTCCTCCTGCTCCGTGCCCTCCCTACTCCTTCCTCTCCTGCTCGTCCTCTCCCTGTCCTCTCTCAAGTGTTCCCCCGAGGAGTTACACAACGGCTGGGGAAACACACAGTCCAACAGCTTGGCCCAGCTGTAATCCAACGTTTGGCCATAGAGGCGTTGCCCTGCCAGGGGGGCGCTGGCGTGCCAGATTGTATAGCTGCTGCTGCTGCTCTTTCGAGAAGGTTCCTGGCGAGCTCCGGCCCAAACCGCCGGCCACCTGGAAACGACCACCGTCGGACCCAGACCAGAAAGAACATCCTTCAATAGCATGGAGCCCTCCGTCGGCCAAAGCAAACAGAACATCTAAGGCTACCCTCCCCAGGGTGCACAAGAATAGCCAACAAGCACGAAGAACCACGGGGTACCCCCCTCGAACCGCGACCTTGTACTTCGGTCTGACTGCATCCCTTTACAGCCTCAAGAGGTCCCTCAAACGGTCCAGATAGGCCCTCGAGTCTGCAAAGGTGCCAGACGGCCCGAGATCACTCCAAGACGGCCCAAGAACAGCCCAAAAGTGGTCCAAGAGAACCCCGAGAGGCTCCCGAGAAGGCCCAGATGGCTCGAAAAGATCCCCAAGAGAGCCCCAAGATGACCCCACAGGGCCAAGCCCCTGTTGCCTGTGCGCGCTGGGGGAGCACTGAGTCCACTAGCGTACCAAACGCATTCTAAAGCACGTGTCAAACGCGTAATGAATGTCCATCTGGCGCTCACATTCGTGAGAACGCGTCAAATGCATGCATGCCAGACGCAGGTTGAATACATACACCCCTCGTACCCGTATTTTCCGGGCGGGGCTAGTGCCAAAGGCCCGACGGACAAAAATCACTCTGCGCTGGAACACTTCCCGGGCAAAAGCGAACCGCCGGATGTCTGGGTCCTCGAGCTTCGAGGAATCCATCGAGGCTCGAGGCGTTGAGAAACGAGGCATGTCTGGGGCCTCGAAGCTCGAGGCATTTATCGAAGCTTCGACCTTTGAAACTCGCTAATGAGTATCAAAGCTGTTAGCTATTGTTGGCCCCGTATGGGCTCCTGGCGGCATGCCTCTGGGAACTCTGAGGGATTTCCGGAGGCCTCCAGAAATGCTGCCCTCCCAACGGTCACGCCAAATTTGGGACATCGTCGCAGCTTCCTTGGTTCGAGCAGGCCGCAATTGAGGTTGGCGCTACAATTCTGTGAGATCGGGTGACTACTCGAAATGTTTTTCTCACGCGATCCGAAGGCGGCGCATTCCCTGCGACAAAGTGGCGGCAGCGCCCTACTGAGGGCACTACTCTGAACCTGCCTCCTGGCGACTGAGGCGAAGTGTGCACGCGAAGTGGGACTCTCTGTGAGCTAACACTGCATCTGATCGCTTCACTCGCCAGGTGCTCTGTTCAGGACTTGTTTACGCGGGCATGGGCGAAAGGAGAAGCCTACTCAGGAGGCGGAGAAGGAACTGCGGAGTAGAAGGCGGCGGGCAGGGCAAGTAAATTCAGCACAGATAAACACTTTGTAGGACAGCGATGCAGACAAGACTTGAACACGCATACAATAACATCCTCTGCCTCCCCATCCGTATCCACCTCGGCTCCCGCAAACTACCAGGGGCCGCCTGGTAAACGAAAGCGTCGAGCGCTCACTACTAAAACTATACACACAGTCGTGAAACAGCACCCGTGAGAGACTCCCCTTCACCTGCCACAGCAACGCCTGTTCACGGGGCAGCCGCGCGTCAACGGGAGCAGGAGGCGGATAAGCGGATAAGGAGGATGAGGGGAGGCCAGGGTAGGTGCGCGGTGGACTACCCAGCTTACAGACGCGTGAGCCACGGCCACACGACGTGTCCACGCCGCCAGTACGCAACAACCTTATGGTGCCCATCGGATCGACCGGAGCGTCGCCCGCCCACTGCAGACACGGCTCCCCCGACGAAACGGGGCCAGAGGCTGCGCTCGCAGCGCGGAACAGCGCCGCAAGAGCGCTGTCGCTGCGGAGGCCGCGAGGGAGCCGTGCCGATACAGCAGACACATGCGATCCGAGATCCCGCAATTCGGAGTCTGGGGGGCAGGTTTGTCGACGATGCCTGAGCTTCCTGAGGTGCCCCAAGGCCTCTACTGGTCCCAGGGCCATCGAGGAATGAGACGTTTCCCTGGGGCACCTGCTGGCACGCTGGGCTGCCCCCCGAGAGGAGGAATGGAGGGAGGGGGCGGCGAAGGAGGCAGGGGGGGGGGGGGAAGGGGGCGCAGGCGGGCTACTGCAGTACAGCCTGGTCGCGGTCTGGCATCCCTTCTCCCCGTCGCTACCGCCGGGCCTCCGGGCTGCCGGAGGCCGCGGGGGCGAGGGCGGGCCAGGAGCATGGAGGAGACGTCCCCGAACCTCCGCCGTCGTTCTCTGTTCCATCGCGTGGCTCCTGGGACCCTCGGCCCGTTCCTGGGGACATGTTTCCCTCGTCTTGGAGAATCTGTCGACTGCCCAAGCCCGAGCGCGGCCCCCCGAGGCCCAAAGCGGCGAAGCATGTCCGTGTGGATTTGCTCAAGACGTCGGCGGCCTGGGGCATGTCCATATCCATGGCCTCGCGGTCTGGACTCTTCGGCCGCGACCCGTTGGATACAGGACGCTTTTCCGTGGATGCCCCAAGCGGAACGTATCCATAGGATCGCGTATCCACAGGATCGCGTTTCGGTGTCCAGGCCGCGGGGGCATATGGATATGTTGGTCGCTTGTGATGTGGGGAATTTCTGCAAAAAACGATGGCGTGAGCCGAAGAAACCAAAGACGCGGCAGGCTTGCACTGTATCGATGACACGCCACCGTGGGGAACCAATCAGCACGCGGCTGTTGAAGAAGCACCAGGCCTTCGGACAAAAGCGAAAGAGTAACACGGTGACGGGCTCCCAGAGGCGGCGCGCCATCATTACAGTACTCGCTATCTTTCCCTCCTGAGCTCATGCCGACGCAGCCCGGGCCGGGGCTTCCTGACTGCGGGGCTTCCCGGCTGCGGGGCCGCAACAGCCAGCAGGCACGACGACTGCCTCGCACGACAGAGGTAAGGCGACGAGAGCCCACGATGGGCCTGGCCAGGGGCAGTGGACATGTGGCGGGTTCCGGAAACTGTGGACGAACCAAAACTTGCCATCTTTTGGGAAGCCAATGCTTACTTCCGCCGGTTTCCGCCAGCCTTCCTTTTACCAGCGCAACACCCTAGAAAAATCAATTGGATGTCTAGCGTCGGGCCCGTCTCAAAACCAACCACACGCACGGCGCAACCTCAAAAATGCAAAGCACAACGAGGTAGAGGGCCAGAGGAGTGAGCACGCACGCGGGGCCCATGGCCCCGCACTCGAGCACCCCCTCCTCTGAGGGGATGGCACTACGAGAGCGGCCGCCTAAACACCCTCTGGTGTAAAGGCGGGCCCTCATCAAAGAAAACGACTGAGCTAGCTCCCCTCGGAGCCCTGCCCACGAACCTGGAAATAGTTTCGAATGTCAACTGTAGACTGAGATCTGCTGGGGCCTGCACGGGGTCTCACTTCTTCTTCGGGCGCTTCTGCTATCCGTGGGTTCCGTCTCCTCCTCCCTTGAATATCATCCTCTCGAGCTCCTCGGCAGTCTTGGACCGTGGAGCCTCGTCGTCCTCCAAAATCAAAGTCACTGACTTCAGCCCCTCATTGGCTTTGAGAACATACAACGCTGCCATCACCGCTGGGTGCGACATAGCAGCGAATATCCACTTGGCCTCCTCCACTTCTCTTCCGTCGATCGTCGTTGTCACTCTCACGTCGAAGCACCTCGTCGCCTTGAGCTTCACTTCGGGGTCCTTGAGGCTCTTCCCGAACTCCACGAGCGTCATCAGCGCCACGGCTGATTCTTGTGGGTTGGCGCCCCGGGCGACCGCGGCCTTGACCTCTTCGAGTCTGTCCTCCACCGCCTCGCTTAATCTGAACAACAGCATGCGGAGGTACGCGTCGGGCTTCTTGCCGAGAGGGCGGCCGCGATAGTCGGCGGCCGCGACCGCGTCCCTGGCCTCCTTCCCTACTTTCTGGCAGTGCGCCGTGCTCGACTCCAGCGCCACCTGCATCTGTGATCCGACTCGGAGCCGAACCACTACGTTCTGGTCTCTCGCCGAGCCCCGAAAGTTGTCCTCGTGCTTGAGCAGGAGCTTGGTCATCAAGCGGTCCTTCTTCGAGATGCCTGCAACTTCGGCGTCGGCGTTCGGTCTGGTGCTCTCGACTCCTGCCTCGCCCGCGTCTCGTTTCTTGACCAGCTCGGCCGCGGGTGTGAACATCCCCCCCCCCCCCCCCGATTTACTGGGCTCTGCAGCTGCCGTTGAAGGTCGATCTGAAAGAGAAAGCGATTGTAGCGACTGAGCCCGAACAAGCTGCGAATCCGAGATGTGGGCAACGTTTCGATTGAATATGCCTGATCATGGTGTCCTTGCGAGTAAATACTTGGGAGCAGCATGGGCACCTGCGGGCACTGAGGTCAAACAGAGGGATTGAGTGGACCGCAAACCTGTGGTTCTCCAATCCTTTCTGACCTGTGCATCCTTTTCCACACTCTGGACACACAAGAAGTCGAGAGGCATCGATTTCCCCTGCCTCCTGCGTCAAGTCGCTCTCAGCTTCGCATGAGAGGGCAACTCTGAGCTCGGCAACAGAGAGCACGTTTAGCCACTCCAGCCAGTCACGAGAAACGCACGGTGAATCGGACAGTGCTCGCTCCTTGTCTGATGCTGAGATGCGAGCCCAAAGCGCCCGAAGATCCAAAAGTAGTTGCCGAATTCGGCAAGAGTGGTTGCGGCACCTAGAGTCCTCGAAAGACAGCTTCCCGGATACAACAGATCGTATAGCTAACGCGGCGTCATATTCTGGGGGTCCGGGTAGAAGTCCTGGTAATATGACACGCCGCCACCACAGAGGCCTACGATACAGCAGAGTAGAGCTGACACTGAAGATGTTGGCTCGCTGACGGATACCCGAGTTGGAGACGCGATACCTGCGAGCGGGGGACCGCAAAATATGCCTAAGTTTGCGGGTCTGCCATCGTTCCAACTTCTTCAGATCTGCTCGGGCCAGGAAGGCTACCTCCAGCGCGCACAGCGCGATCGAACGGACCAGCGAGCACCACAGTCGCACCTTCAAACGAATACTGAGGTTGCCCTTAAGAACGCGCTGGGCAAGACGACCGCGCGCCTTATTCGCAGAGGAGAGGCGAGTCTTGATCTCGGGGGAGTAGGAGCCACTAGCAGAGAGTAGGCAGCCGAGGTGCTTAGCTGTCGGCGTCGGGTGCAGGGCGCAGACCTGCGCGTCTACGTGGGCCATGTTAATGCCAGTCTGCTTCTTCGCAACCTGTTGTCGGAGTTTCCTGCAGCCCCTCCCCGCAACACTCAACATCAACTCGGTTTTTGGGACGTCCATGGTCAGACCACTGGCATTAACCTGAGCCCTCAGGAAGTCTAAGATAGATGTGACAGCGTCGAAGTCGTCAACGATAGTCAGCGCGATTAAGTCATCTACGAATTATATCTGGGACGTGTCTAGGACGGTTAACTCAATCGCCGCAAAGTCCTCCGAAGTCCTGAAAACCTGGAAGGAGGGGTCGTACTGAACCTGGACGCCCTTGAACCCCGCGGCTAACGTTTGGTCCCCGGTATCATTGGTAATCACGTCATAGAACGCGACGAATAATCCTGGGCCCTCCACGCTACCTCGCCGAACCCCCATTTTCCGAATAAGAAGTCGACGACATGGACGGTTAGTACGGGCATCCCTAAGAATATAACAAGTCCCGTTATATAACTCCTGAACTGTCAAGCGAGTTTGTCGAGACAGGGCGAGTTTCTCGAGGGGGGCCATACCTGCTGCCGATCGAGCATATCAAACGGTTTCTCCAAGTCAATCAAGGCCTAGACGAGGATGATTGCTGGGTTCTGGGCGCGCCAAAGATTAAAACGAAGGCGTCTGCCGACATCGTCGACTAGAGCGATGGCATCGCGAGTGGAACGGCCTTGCAGCGCGCCAAACTGCGCGCTGGACAACTTGCAAGACATCTGGCGCAGCTCTGGCATAATGGTCACGTTTGCGAAAGCTTCGCCCGCATGGCCAATGAGGTTGATGGTTCTGTAATGGTCCTTAGCATTCAACCCGTCACCTTTAGGCTTCCCCTCAGAGAGACTGTTTCACCGTCTTTGAACCATTGGGGCGCTCTTCGACAGGCCTGTGCAGCCTGGAAAACTCCAAGAAGGGGATCTCCAATAATCTCCGTACTGAGCTTCCAAAGTTCGGCGACAGCTCCTCCGGGGTCCTGTCGCGGGGCCTGAGAGGTGGCGGGGTCTGTCCACTCGAGGACTGGGGCGCTCTGGAAGTTGGGGGGCCTCACCAAAGCCTGAGTCACATCGTGAACGTCGTACTGGCCTATGAGGTCCTCATCGGGGGCATCAGTGATATCCTGGGGCCCGCCGCCGTCGTCCATGGGCAACTCAGTGGCCTCGGAAATGGAGCACAGCACATCCGCGCGAACCAGCTGGTCCTCTTCGTCATCAAAACACGGGTCACCTGTTGCGGGGTTGCGGACCGTCAGCATCGGCATCCTAGTCTTCGGCGCGAGCCTCTTGGCGATGGAGCAGCCACGTCGAATGTCATTAACTGCGTCCGCTCTCTCTGCATCGGCGACAAGGGCCGCCACACGTTGTCGCTTCTCAGAACGGACAGCTCTCTTCGCAATCTTCGCCGCACGGCGAAACTCAGAGGCAATAGATTTGTACAACCACGATTGTACTCTGGAAAGCAGTCGTTGAAAATATTGTTTGCGTTCTATCAGCTGGAGAGTATCCTCGGTCAACCCCTGCTTCTTAATTGCCGCAGGGTTGCCAGCATACATAGCATACGCAGCATCCATCACCACACCTTCGAGAGCGTTGTAGTACGCGGATGGGTGCGGGAATGAAAGGCCTGGGCCACATTCTTGACGCCAGTCGCCTCCAATTTGGCGATTCTGCAACTCACTTCGCAGCCTGTCACGAAAGTCTTGGACTCGTGCAGGTACTGTATCCTCGTGCAATGTAGTTCTCAGGTTATGAAGGAATAAATCTCGATTCCATCTTGGTAACAGGGGAGACGGAATCTTGCGGCACCTAAACTTGGTTGAAATCCGAGCCTCAAGAGGTCGATGGTCGCGGTAGCCGCCAAAACTAACGGGGAGCGAAGATAATACGTTGGTCCCATACCCAGATCTTCCCCGCAGTAGCGTACAAATTAAGTCAATATGATTCCACGTGGTACCGTCAGTGTAAAGCCATGTCCCACCATGAGAACCCTTGCTGCCGTGAGTGTTCGATGCCGTCAAATGTTGGGATTGAAGAAGATTGAGTAGCTGTCCGCCATTATGGTTAGTAACTCTTGGGATGCGATTAGCGCCAGCGAAGCCAACGTGGGGGAGATCAGGGGCCACCGTTCCATTTGCGTCAAGGCACCATATCAACGTCGTACGCTGTGGAGCTCGTCGAAGTGCGGACTCACTAGTGTGTCAAAAATTGTCCTGCGCAAGTCGGTGAGCCTGCAGCTGGTTACCTCTGTCGGCCCCCGCGGGTTGGTACGGTGGAGAGTTGGTCGGGGCATAGCCGTTCAGTATGTAAAGGTCGCGATCTTGGCGTCCCTCACGTCGGACACGGAGTCCCAGGATACGTCCTGGTAGCCACTCGTGGGCGCATTTGACCTCTAGTGGGTTGAAGTTGGACATCCATCCTTAGCTCGAGTAGAAGTCCTCGGTGTCGGATAGATCCTGTACCCTGCACGATTCCACGGTGTGGTGCCACTCATCAATGCACTCTGGGACCATACAATGGCAATTTTCTGATCCTTGACGAGACGTAGCAGTTCGCCAACTCGATCCATGCGAATCAACGACTCCGTATTATAACTCCAGACTTTCATCAGATGATTGTTGCGCGAAACTTGTGTTCGTCTGGGCAACTGAGATGGTGGTGCGAGCTCAGGTTCTCGTTGATGAATCTGCCTTTCGTGTCGAACTGCGTGGGCGGCCACAGGACGAGTAAGCAGCTGACCATGATACCAGCAGCTGCCTGCCACTATGGCAAGTCGTACAGCTCGTCTCCAAGCCCTTTTGCCACCCATTGCCCTAGCTCCCGCCGTCGGTCTTGTAGTCAGAGCCGAGTTGGCGGTCCAGCTCGGTCGGGCAGCCGAGCAGCGCTCACCTCGCAGGCGTCGGCACTACTCTCCTCCTCCGAGGTCCTCACGCCCAGCACAGCAGCGCCATGGCAGGAAGAGGAGAACACTAGGGTTCCGCCTGGTGGGGAATTGCGACCCCACGCTCGCCTGTGCGAGAAGCGTCCTTGAGCCGCCGAGGCTTCGCCAGCCTTCCGCTGGCTTCCGCCGACGGAGCCACCGCCGTTTTACTTCCGCGGGTTTCCGCCGCCTTCCGCCGAGGGAGAGATGGCAACTCCTTCGATCCTTGCAAGCGAGGCCCTTTCTGGAACGCCTCATGTATGGACCTCGTCGCCCGAAGGGGGGACCCCGCTTCTCGCAGGGGCCGCGCCTTCAAAGGCTGCCAAAAAAAAGCAGCTGCAAACACAGGCGCCAGGCACGTCCCTCGGGGTGGCTCCTGGCATGGCGCCAAGCGCACCATGCCCACACCACGGCGGCAGGAGCGGGAGACGGGCCCCTCGATGAGCACCCACAGGTGCGCCTCCCGAGCGAACGCAAGGCGGGGTCACCAAAGGGGAAAGGGATAGCGAGCCAGCTGCTGCATGTCCGAGGACAGGATATCCACCAATTTGGGAACCGATCTACCAGGATCTCGAGAGGCAGCGGGTATGGATAGGTTCGGGCCGTAGGCGCCCCAAACATACCATCCACCGCTGCATTGTGGAGTCCTAGGAGATCGAGTCCCAAGAGGTGGATGCGCGGAGCTCCTGGCCTCGCAAGGTGGAGCCGTAGCTGGTCTTCGGGCGCCCAGAAGCACCGGGAACGATCATGTACCAAGGAAAACGCCTGGCAGTGGAGCCGAACAGCTGCACGCAGCAGTCCCACCAGCCCTTCAGGGCGTGAGTGGTCTAGCGAGCTCGTCGGGAGCTAAGGAGCCCATAGTGTGAGCAAACGTGCCACAGCCACCCGCTCCGACCCTCGGGACAGTGCTCGGATCCGCCGCAGCGGGCGCCGGCCCTGCGGGCGCCGGCCCTGCGCGGCGCCCAGGGGCCTCGGGTGATGGCGCCGTCAGGCCGCGCCCAGCGCCCCCTCCTCCTCGGGCCTCGGGGCTCGGTCGCCCCAGGCCGCTTCCGCGGCCAGGGGGCTATGCAGGGGCTGGCGCGGTGAGGCGCCCTGTCGCTCTTCTTGCGACCGCCCGCGCCCGACGGGGCACTTCTCCTCGGGCCTGCGGCGCAGCTGCTTCAGGCCGATGTCCTCGAAGAGGATGCGCACCGCCGCGCCTGGCTGGTGGGCGCGGTCGGCGGGCGGCCAGAGCGACGCCGCGCTGGGCTGCCCTGGGCGAACGGGTAGCGGCGGCGCAAGCGACACCGAGGCCACGAACTGCACCCGCCCGTTGCGCAACGAGGGGGGTCGCAGCGAGAGAGGCTCCCCGAAGACGCGCGGGGACGGCACGTCAGCCCCGCGAGGCTCCGCGGTGGCCCCCGTGACCCAGCGGAGGAACGGATCCCTGCTCCACTCCAGGGATCCGCGTGTCCACATCAACCGATTCGGAGACGTGTCCCCGAGGATGTAGCGGAGCGCTGGGAAGGTGCCCATGGCCGCACGGCCCTCTCATGGAACGAGAAAGTTTCCCTACGCAACGCTCCGCGTGATCCTCGGGTGAAACATGCAGATCGGTAGAGATGGACCCAGACATGCGACGTCCTGATTTGTTCAGGACGGCGTCCCTGGAAGTCCCGACCCTTTCCCCGGGGCCGGTTTCCATCCTGAGTCGTTTTCTGACGGTCCCGAGGCCCAGCGAGGGCTCCCCGAGGCCGAAATTGGCCAAAAACTTCCCGTCCTGATTTTTTGTACGACGCGATCATGTCTGGGGACTAATCCCCAGCGTGACCTCTGTGCCGGTTTGATCCACTCCTTCAGTCTCCGGTCCGCCGGGGGCAGGTCGCAGGCGTCGACGACGGCCTCCAGCCCGCGCTCCGCCCCGGGGTCGGCGGCCCCGGCCGTAGCCCACCTGCCGCCCCAGAAGAGGCTGTGGCAGTTAGTGAAGCCCTCGATCCTCCAGTCCTCGCTGCTCGCGTCGAAGCAGAGGACGACCCTCCCGGGCCCCCCGCTGCCTCGCAGCGCCGCCATCCGCCGCTCCAGCCAGCAGCCCAGGGACGCCCTCTTCTTCTTGGGGCCCGTGCTCTGCCCAGCCTGGCCGGCGCGACGCACTGCGGGATCCGCGCCCGAGCCCGCGACCGCCTCGCCGCCTGCGTGCTCCGGCACCACGACCGGGCACTCCCTGGGCGGATGGCCGACCCCGGGCCCGCCGTCGGCGGAGCGGCCCTCACCGCCCCGAGGGCTCGACGCTTCGCTCGCGGCCCCCTCGCGAGCGGGCTGCGCCGCGGCCGAGCCCGCGCCGACCGCCCCGCCAACGGTGGCCGCGGAGCCCCCGCCGCTGGGCAGGGCCGCCTTCGCGGCGCCCGGCCTCGCGTGGCGCACGCAGGAGAGGCAGGACAGGTAGGCGGCGATGTCCCCGGCGACGGCCGCGCCGACGTTGCCGGCAGAGGGAGCCCCTGGCACCGGCTCTCGCCCGGGCGCGCACGTCTGCACAGCATAAACGGAACGGGTCCTGCGGGAACACGGTCAGGGGCTTTCCCCCAGGAACAGTTCTTCATCCTGGGTCGTTTTCTGACGGCCCCGAGGCTCGTGGAAGGCCCCGAAAGCCCCAAATAACGGCGAACAAAAATCAGCACCCGTTTCCCTCAGGACCCGTTTCCTTCACGGCGAGCCTGCGCTGCGCAGGCGGGGCCCTCGACTGGCTGGACCCGCCTGGCGAACACGACCTCGCCGGCCCGCCCAGGCCCCAGCCACGGAGCCCACGTTGCGGCACCTCGCCCCTGCAGAGCGCTCTGCGAGGACGCGTCGTCGCCTGGGGGCGCGCCGCTGGGCGTCCCGCGGAGCTCGGCGGCGGCGGCCTCGTCGGCCCCGAGCTGCAGCAGCGGCGCAAGGGGCCCCGGCGCAGACGCGGGCACGCCACGCGCGCGGCCGCGCGCAGGCGGCGGCCCCCGGCCGAAGACCTCGACCACCGCCGAGGCTCCTACTCCTCCTCCTCCTCCTCCTCCTCCTCCTCCTCCTCCTCCTCCTCCTCCTCCTCCTTTTCCTCCTCCTCCTCCTCTTCCTCCTTTCCTCCTCCTCCTCCTGCTCCTCCTCTTCATCCTCCTCCTCCCCCTCCTCCTCCTCCTCCTCCTCCTCCTCCTCTCCTCCCACCTCCACCTCCACCTCGACCTCCTCCTCCTCCCCCTCATCCTCCTCTTCCTTCTCCTCCTCCACCTCCTCTTCCACCTCCTCCTTCTCCTCCTCCTCCTCCTTTTACCATTAATACGATTAAAAATAATGATAGCATTATGAGCATCATGATCACCATCAGCATCATCATCAGCAGCAGCATCATCACTAGTATTAGTTCGTGGGGTAGTATTAGTATTCGTAGAATTATGCTCGTAGAATTAAAATGTTTAGTAGCATTCGTAGTATCATTATTACTACTACGACTACTGCTACTACTACTACTACTACTACTACTACTACTACTACTACTACTCCAACTACAACTACTACAACTACAACTACAACTACTACTACTACTACTACTACTACTACTACTACTACGACTACTACTACTACGACTATACGACTACTACGACTACGACTACGACTACGACTACGACTACTACTACTACTACTACTACTACTACTACTACTACTACTACTACGTCTACTGATACTTCTACTTAAAATATACTTCTACTTATACTACTGCTACTACTACTACTACTACTACTACTACTACTACTACTACTACTACTACTACTACTACTAATACTACCACTACTACTACTACGACTACTTCTACTACTACTACTACTAATAATAATAATACTACTACTACTACTACTACTACTACTACGACTACTACTACTACTACTACTACTACTACTACTACTACTACGATCCATATTAGTAGTCGTAGTCGTAGTAGTAGTAGCGGTAGTAGTAGTATCGTATTGTATTGTATTCTAGTAGTGTGATGAATAATAGTAATAGTACGTTGGTGTGTCTTTATATTAGTGTTAGCACTAGTGTTGTTAGTGGTGGTATCATTATTGGTCGTATAAGCATGAGTGATGTCATTAATCATAGTACTAGTGATGTTTGTATGGTGATGTTTGTTAGTAATGATAGTAGTTTTACGATTCGTGGTGTTATTGCCAGTGTCAATACAGTATTGTATTACATATACGATTGTTGATATTTCTATGTATGTCATCAGCACTAGCATTATTATGAAAATGAGTCGTATTCGTAAAGTTTTAAGTGCGCACATCGGTGCTGTTGCTGATAGTATTGGTATGTTTGGTCGTAGTATCATTACGACAAAAAATAGAAAACTACTTATTATTAATAGTTTTGTTATTCGTTGTATCAGTATTCCCCGCATTCATATCAGACTGTTGCTTCGTATTCCTATGAGTTGTAGTATTAGTACGATTCGTTTTCTTGATATTAATATTGTTTTTATTGTTGTTAATAATACTCATGCGAATATTATCAGTAATCATATACGTCTGATTGGTATTCGTAATGCTAGTCTTCATGTGTTTAGAAAAAGTATGTGCATTAGAAATGTTTATCTTCATGCGAATAATATTAATAGGATCCGTTATGTTAGTATTATTTCTCGTCAGATTATGATTGTTGGAAACAGTAATACGACTATTATCATCATTCCTCCTCGTGCTCCTCCTCTTCCTCCTTCTCCTCCTCCGCCCTCATCCCTCCTCGTCACTCCTCCCTTCTCCCTCCTCCTCCCTCCTCCTCCCTTCTCCTCCTCCTCGTCCTCCTCCTCCTGCTCCTCCTCCTCCTCCGCGCCTCCTCCTCCTCCTTCTCCTCACCATCATCATCCTCCTCCTCCTCCTCTTCCTCCTCCTCCTCCACCACCACACCCTTCACCACCTCCACCTACTCCTCCACCTCCACATCCA